TTTGCAGAGCCAGGGATTGAACTCAGGTCCTTGCGCTTGCCAGGGAAGCACTTATTCCACTGAGCCATCTCCCCAGCCCCATCTTATATTTATTCTTTCTTCCTGTTAGTCTATCATTTAAATGACCCACAAAAGTATTTTTCTGAGCTCGATCCCCTGGCCTGCCTTGTTGGCCCTGCCCCCGGGGTGCACAGAGATGGCGATTGAGACTGGGCGTGGTGGCGCGTGCCTGTAATCCCAGCACTTGGGAGGCTGTAAACAGGAGGATCGCTACAAGTCCGATCTACACAATGAGACCTGCACACCCTGTACACCCTGTCCTAAATACAAAAAAAAAAAAAAAAGTATTTTTCTAGGGCTGGCAAGATAGCTTAGCGGACTAAGTGCCTGCGTGGGCAAGCACAGAGACTGGGGTTTGATCCCCAGCACCACATGCCATGCTGGCCCCACCCTCTCTGAGCCAGCCAATGAGTCCCAGCGTGATAGCGCACATGTGTAACCCTGCGAGGGCTATAGACAGGAAGATCACTATGAGTCCTAGCTGCTTAGCAAGACCCTGTACCAAATACATAAAATATTTTAAAAGTATTTTTCTAAGTTTTAAAATAAATTTGTTGGATGGAATGCAGAGATATAATTTACTTCCCTAATGTGCAAAAGGCAAAACCAAAAAACCTTAATAGCCAGGGGAGATGCGGGTAATGAACACGTTGCAAAGTTACGTAGTGAGGTTGAATGAGACATCTTTCTTTTCTGGAGTAAATTTATATAAGTCCGTAAAAGCCTTTTATGGGGGGGTCAAGTTCACTGGGGCCCAGGGCCAGCTATTTATTTCTATTTCAGTTCCCCCTGCCTTCGCATTGTGTAACACCTTCTCCCCGTGTGTAACCTCGGGTCCACAGTAAGCGCACAGCCTCAGTGATTCAGCGGAATTGCCTGCGTGCCCCCCGCCCCCCACGGAACCGACTCAAGAGTGCTGTCCGGAGAAAATGACAACTAACTCACCGCGAAGGCGCCCGGCACTGTAGGCGCCCGGCAGCCGCTGCCTGACCCTGCCGAGCTGGCCGGCCCGACCTGCACGCCGCACAGGAAGGGACCTTCGGCCTCTGGCTACCGTGGTTCTCGGCTTCTACGGCTTCTGCTTTCCATCTCTGTGCCAGGTTGCGGGTTGATTGATTTACACAGATGTTTCCTGCTTCTTTGCACAAGTACTCTGCACGCCGGCTCTCGCTGCCAAGAACGAGACCTTGGGCGCCCGAAGAGGCCTCTTTCGGGCCCTCGAGGTGCCCGCGTCTCTCGCAGTCTGGCTCTTCCTCTGACAGCGCAGTCACGTTCTCAGATCAGAGCTCTTGCCTGAACCGTCCCATGCATGAGATGGCAGCGTTTTCTGGATTATTTTGCCGTCACCTGCCACAGGGAGGAGGCCGTCAGCTGTGTCGCTTGCTCCCGTTCCCTCCCCCAGCAGTCGGCTTCTCCAGTGCGCTCCGTCATGGGGCAGGGCTGCACGCACTTCATCGCTGTGGTGGAAAATGGCTGGAGGTGTGCTCACCTTCCAGGGCTTCTGGAAGGAGATGCTGCAAGCTGGCGGACTTAAAACAACCCAAAGGCCGGGAAGCCCAGCACTGGGAGGCTGAGGCAGGAGGATCGCTGTGAGTTTGAGGTCAGCCTTGGCTACATGGTGAGTTCACGGCCAGCCTCACCTATACAGTCAGACCCTGTCTCAAAAATACCAACAATAAATACATAAATAAACACAAATTCACTCCCTCACAGTTTTGAAGGCTGGCTGGATGATCCACACAAAGCCGTCAGCAGGAAGACTCCTCCTTGCCTCTTCCAGGCTTCCGGTGGTCCTCAGCGATGCTCAGAGCTCCTCCTCCATACACCGCCTCTGTCCAGTTCCCGCCTCTGTCCTCCCAAGGGTCACTTCCCTCTGCACGTGGCTCTGTATTTTCCTTTGCTCCTGGTACAAAGATATAAGTCACTGGATTAGGACCCGCACTAAACCAGTAGGGTCTCAGCTGCACTAATTACAAATGAGGTCACCTTCTGAGGCTCTGGGGACCTGAGTCTTTTGGGGGACACTATTCAACCCAGGACAGGGTAATCCAGCATTTGGGAGGCTGAGGCAGGAGGACTGCTGCAAGGCCAGCCTGAGCTACATAGTGAGACCCCATCTCAAAAAAGATAAATGTGAAAGTGACAGCTGAGGCCTGAGGTGATGATGTGGGAAGGGGTCATAGTTGGGCAGACAGAGTGAGACCCCAGGGGTCCTCAGGAACCACCACCCCTCTGCCTTGCAACAAAGTCAGACTAAGCCCCAGTCACACAAAGGAAACCCAATGTATGGGGCAGCGGGGGATTCCTCAGGGAGGGTTTCAAAGGTGAATTTTACAAATCACAAAGAAAATTAAGCCAGAAAATAGGCAATAAGCACCATAGAAATGACTAGGGGTTATTTCTCTTAGTGTTGGTGTTTTAGAATTTCAGAAGTGCACTCAATTCTTTCTTAAAAAGACAATGTGCTTGTTCAACGTATAAACAAACCACAAAAATAACCAGTTACAAAAAATATACAAATTTCTGGTATTTTACCCTCAGAGAAGTCATACAGCTTTTTCTCCCTTGGGCAATGTGATTCCTGGAGATGAATTCTTGACTATCTGCCTCAACTGATCTAATTTTGTCAAAAGTATCAGGTAAAACACTGTGCAGGTAGTCACTAAGCCAGCCCCGAGAGCGCACAGGAGGTCGGGTCCTCTCTCTGGAGGCGGGGGATGCTGGTGGGTGCTTGGAACCAAGGAGGTGCTTTTTTTTTTTTAATTTTTTTTGTGGAACCGGGCATTGAACTCAGCCCCTTGTGCTTGCCAGGGAAGCGCTTATTCCACTGAGCCATCTCCCCGGCCCCAAGGAGGTGCTATTTTAAAGCAGTTTTGGGGGATTATTTTTTCACTCAACACTCACTGTGAAAAACAGAGTTAGCGCTACCTGCCCTGCCTTTCTAAATCTTGTTCTCAGGCTCTCGTGTACTCAAAGCTGACATTAGGGTAAGGGTGGCATACAGATTATCGTAGGTCTATATTGCAGAAAAAAATCTGTCTCCCTTGAACATAATTTCAAAAGTTCATTTCCTGCCTTTTGAAATAGACTGTCTGGAGAAACCAAAAGTATAAAGAAGAACAAAAATGTATAGTAGGTATTGTGAAACAGGAAAAAACTATTCAAATGGGGTAGGGAACAAGAAAGTGAGGAGGGGAAAAGGAAGAAGAGAAAATAAAAAGTGAGAAAGGAAGAAAAAATTGGAAATGTATTTGTAAATAGGGAGGAGAGGAGGGGCTGAAGGGAGGGTAGGGGAATGGGGGGGGACAAGTTAGATGCTGAGCAGGTACGGGTCCTCTGTGGTGAGTGTGAGCACTATATATGCCTAAGATGTACTGATAAAATCTGATTGGAAAAAATAAAATAAAATCGAAGAACCTTGTTTCCATCAAAAAATAAAATAACAGGGCTGGGGAGATGGCTCCGTGGATTAAGCGCTTCACTGGCAAGTGCAAGGGCCTGAGTTCAATCCCCGGTTCCACCAAAAAAAATAAATAAATAAATTAAAAATAAATTAAATTAACTGAGCTCAAGTGCAAAAATAGAAAGAAAACTAAAACAGAATTCTAACTAAACAGTATTGTAAGACAAATACTTTTTTTCAGAGTACCAGTGCCTTTTCTTTTGGCTTCATTTTGTTTTGTTTCTTTGAGACAGGGTCTCACTAAATTGCCCGGCTGGCTTCCAACACTCCTCCTGCCTCAGCCTCCCAAGTGCTGGGGTTACTTACAGCCCTGTACTGCCGCTAGTTCAAGCATCTTAGCGCCTTTACCTCCATCCCCTCTCAGAGCTGGGTTTATTTCCTTACCCATAGGAATGGCACCATGATCAATGAGGCTTACAATCCTCTAGTTTTTGCTTTTTTTTAATGTATTTGTTACAGGGTCTCACTACACAGGTCAGACTCGTAGTGATCCTCCTGTTTTCAGCCTCCCCAGCTCTGGGATTACAGGTGCGCACCACCACGCCCAGTCTACAACCCTCTAGTTTGGATGTAGTAACCGACTGGCCTGAGTAGTGCTTGTAGAATAATCTCAAATAAGCCTGCTTCCTAGTTTGGAAACACACCCCTCAGTTCCTTCTCCGGCGAGTGATTTATCGGCTGCTTTCTTTATGTATCTGTGTTTCCAAAAGGATGATATCGAAAAGCTGGGCAAGCTGGTGATGGACGGGCCATTCAGCGTCTGGACCATTCACAAGGAGCGCCACAAAGTGAAGGATCTGATTAGGTTTAAGCCCAGCCAAAGGCAGATCTACCTGTTTGAACGGGGCATTGTGTTCTGTAAGATTCGAATGGAGCCTGGTGACCGAGGCTTGTCACCTCACTACAGCTTTAAGAAGGCTCTGAAGGTAAGGGGGCCCCTCTGGGGAGGGAAGATTGTTCCCTTTGTTTTTCAGAGGAGGAAAGCAAGCTTGCTTGCAGAGGGAGCATGGTGGCGCGGCACAGCTGGAACCCACCCCAGGCTGGGTCTGAGGCCAGCCCTGCACGGGCCAGCTGGACCAGCTGGACCAGCTAGTTAGCGGAAGACCCACTTTCCACCAGCAGAGAGGAAGAGGCTCTGGTGATCAGAGCCCAAGCCAGATTTCTTCTTAGCTCTAACCTTCTCGGTTGCAAGACCACATTGAGTGCTGCTCTTTTTTCTGTTAGTGCCTACGTTTAAACCTTTTAAATTGTTATTAGCAAACATTGGCAGCATGTTGATTGCATTCATCCTGGGGGTTGCTTTGTCCACCTAGTCATAAAGTTGCCTAATCACCACTAACGTGTACACAATGCGTCTCAGTTCTTTCTATATCCCGTTCCCCTCGCTCTCTTCTCTCCCTCCATCCCCTTCCCATTTGCAAAACATCTGCTCCCCTGGCTCTTACTCGCCTTTTATTTTTCTCTTTAAATGTTTTATTCAAATGCACACCTCTGACCTTGACCCTAGGCCTTGGCGAACCCAGGTCCACACCTGGCTCCCTCCTACACAGGAAATGTTTCATAGCCAGCTAGCTATCACACACACACACACACACACACACACACACACACACGATTAAGACTATTGTTTTATTTGTAGTTGTGTTTGTTTTTATTTCTCAGGGGACATTCATTGACTTACTGTTTGAGATTTGTACAACGGGTGTTAAAAGACAAATGACTTCTTAGCTTCACGACTGGGGCTGCAGGGAAGCATAGTCCCTGTTTCCTTCCAAGCCTGACTGAATTCTGCCGCCTCGGGCCAAAATGAGAGCAGAACATACTTGGAAGGAAGAAGAAAGAGGCCTAATGGGGCAGCCGAAATTGTAACACAAAAAACCAGGGGCGTAGAACATGTCTCTTTCTTTATGACAGTTGGTGACACTTTCAATTCACCAGCTTGGAAGAGGGAGCAATAAGAAGTTTGAAATTGCCCCCCGAAATGGACTGGAAAAATATATCCTGCAGGTAAGGCCCGTGCTGTCCCCCTCGGCCTCCCCTCCTGGTCAGCTGTTGTGTTCCTGTCACTGGACGAGGAAATTCTGTCTCCTTTCCCTAAAGGTTGCTCGGAGGAAAATTCCCTGGGCAACTAATACTCAAGGTGATGTGCTCCTCCTGGTGTATTTTTATCTGTAATTGCAGGCACCTTCAAAAGAAATCAGAGATTGTTGGTTTACAGAAATAAGTAAATTATTGGTGGAACAACAACACGAGGTGAAAGGTAGGTGGCCGCCACAGACTTCGGTCTGGACAGCTTCGCTGGTTCCAGCTTCCTAGTGGCTGTGGATGCCCTGGAGCTGTACTCAAGAATGGTTTGCCAGGAAAAGTCACTGTGCCCACATTTTCATGGTCCGTGTGTGTGTGTGTGTGTGTGTGTGTGTGTGTGTGGTTATATGTGGTTGTGTTGGCATGTACCCTAGAGTTATATCCCCTACACACCTAATTGCCAACAACAGCTTCTTAATCAAAAATCCAAAGCTATTCAAGAAGGTGCTCACCGAGATAGCAGCGCCCAGTACTCCCTTGCGGAAGCTGTGATCGCCTGTCCAGGACGTGAGATGCGATGCAGCACAGCTTCACCCCCGGAAAGCACACAACTTACCTCGTCATAAAGGTGGCTAAGCATCACCAGCCTAAGGCTGATACACTCTCCTCCCCCCCCAAAAAAAGTTTTGAACCAACTAGTGATCATCCCCCACCTTCCCCTTCTCTCTAGCAACCATTATTCTACTTTTTGTTACTACAGGATTTATTTACTCTAGACATTTTATGTAAATGGAATCCAATAGAAAGTCATTCTTTCTCTCTGTCTCTGTCTGTCTGTCTCTCTGTCTGTCTCTGTCTCTCTCTCTGTCTCTCTCTCTCTCTCTCTCTCTCTCTCTGTCTCTCTGTCTCTCTCTCTCTCTCTCTCTCAGTTTTTTTATACCAGGAATCGAACTCAGGACCTTGTGTTTGCCAGGCAGGCACTGTGCCACTGAGCTATGTGCCTGGCCTTGTTCTTTCTAGCAAATGCTTTCACTTAGCATAATTTTTCAGCTTTCACATGTGTCAGTAGGCTGTTGCTTAGGATGGGTGATCAGAGCCCAGTATATGGATGAACCATTATTTTAATCTACTTGAGCTGGTAGAGCAGAAGGCCACAGACTGAGCTATCTGTAATGCAGAGAAGTATGCAGGTTCACAGCGGCAGCCCTTAGGAAACCCAAGGCCAGGCGCTGCACCTCCTGAGGGTCTTCTCCGCATCATCTCACAGAAGGTAGGAGGTCAGAAGAGGGGAGAGGGGAAGGAAGGAGGGAGGAGGGCACAGCGCCACAGGTGGGCCTGAAGGAGGTGCCGCGTGTCCAGGCATCTCCCCCTGGGCGTCATGTTCCCAATATATGAACCCCAGAGAAGGTATTCAGACTAAAGCATTGTATCTAGTCATTCATGGGTTGATGAGCGGTCGGTCTGGTTGTTTCCATTTTGTGGATTTTGTAAACAGTGGTGCTGTTGACATTTGCATACAAGTTCTTTGTATGAATCTTCATCCCTAATTTTACTGGGTATTGAATGGAGCTTGTGGACCCCACAGTAATCTAGTGAGCGTTCTGAGGAACTTCTAATTTGTTTTCCAAAGCAGTAGCATGTTCCAAATTCACATCAGCAATGTATGTAGGTTCCAGTTTCTCTGCTTCCTCACTGACACTTGCTACTGTCTATCTTTTTTTTTTTTTTTTTAGTGGAGTCAGGGATTGAACTCAGGCCCTTGCGCTTGCCAGGGAAGCACTTATTCCACTGAGCCATCTCCCTGGCCCCCAATATTATTATTTATGGCCACCCTAGAAGTATGAAGCAGCCCCTCACTGGAGCATTGACCCCCATTTCCAGCCCTGTCAAGCATCTTTGCCTAACTGGCAAACATCTGTGTCTTTGCATTTCAAAAAGTTCTTATTACTACATATTTGTAGTCCATAATGATTACAATTGCTGTGGGCAGTTGTTCCATGTAATAAATTAATGTGCCTTTCATGGTTGACTTGCAAAGGCTATTTGCATATTCTGGAACTAGAACCCTTGTCAAATATTTGCAAGTTTTTCCTCATTGATTGCGTTGTTTTCACTCTCTTCACAGAGTCCTTTATTTTGACAAAAATCTAACTTGTCTGTCTACTTACTTTGGTTTCTTATTTTTTGGAACAACTGTAGCTTAACCGAAGGTCATGAAGATTTCACCCATGCTTTTTCTGATACAATAGAATGTTAACTCGTACAGTTGGGGCTTTGCTGCATTTTGAATTGATTCTTTAATGGTTAAAATTCACGTTTGAATAAGATTTTCACTTTCACATTTAGTGGGGTTTTTTTTGTCTGCTTGGTTTTTTTTTTAATTGGTCCTTTTAACAGCAGGGATATTTGGTGGGAAAGTTCACACCAAGTTCCATCCATGAGTTTTAACATCCTCTGTGGGCGATGTCACCAGGGTAAGAGATGCCAGGCTCATTGGAAAGCATGTCTCCCATTATTTATATTGACAATGATTTATGTGTGTGCTAAGAAAAATTGTACACTA